GAAGACAAACTCCCCAAACATTCTCTCCAAGACTTAGTTCCTGACTTTCGTGAATACAGAGCTGGCCTCCTTCACACAGAAAAAGAAGGACCCTGGTGTTTGGGACTGAATGATGAAGAAACTGGACCTCAACTGTGATGGGCAGTTAGACTTTCAAGAATTTCTTAATCTAATTGGAGGCTTAGCACAGGCTCGCCATGCCTCCTTCATAGCATCTTGCCAGCCCATCAAGAAAATACAAATGGGCCTCCCAGCCAATTTTCCAAATACACCCTTCCTCCAAATCAGAAAATGTGCACCCATTCCTCATAGTCACACACTGAAACTTAAGAAGCCAAGGCTATAATACAGAGCTATATACAATATTACAGTATAGAGCCATTCACTTTGTAGCAATAAAACATGATTTTAAAAAATTTTTTAAAAATTATAATTTTAAAAAATCAAAGTTATGGTGCAGCTAGGTGGTGCAGTGGATAGAGCACCAGCCCTGGAGTCAGGAGGACCTGAGTTCAAATCTGGCGTCAGACACATAACACTCACTAGCTGTGTAACCATGGGCAAATCACTTAACCCCCGTTGCCTCACCAAAAATGAAAAAAAAAATGAAAGTTACTGCCCTCAAGGAGCTTACATTAAATGATAGGGGATAAAATATGGAGGACAATTTGGCAAAGTAGATAAAAAAAAAGAATCAATTTGCCAGATAAGAGGAGAACCAGGAGAGAGGAGTGTGAAGAAATCTCAAGCAGGAGAGAATATTTAGAAGGGGGTAGTGGTCAATTGTTAGTGTCAAATGATACAGAAAAGTGTAAAAGGATTGAATTTAATAATGAAGGAGACAGCAATTTTAGTCAAGATGTTGACATTATACAAGTGGCAAAGGTTTAAGGAGAGTGGAAGGTAAGAGAGTAGAAATGATGAGTATAGAACACTTTTCTTTCTATCTATCTACCTCCTCCCTTTCACAGTTAAATAATATTTTATATATAATAATATATAATAAAACATATAATAATATTTAAAAAGACTAATGATAAAGCACCAAGGGTGACAGTGCCTAGAGTAATGGACTGGAAGTTGAGGATAACTGGGTTTAAATTATACCTTAGACACTTACTAGCTATGTGACCCTAGGCAAATCACTAAAACGCTCTGACTTTTGGTTTCTTCATCTCTAAAAAGAGGATAATAATTGGAACCCTTAGATCATGGGCCATCGTGAGCATAAAAGGAGATAATGCATGTAAAGTGCTTTATAAACCTTGAAGTGCTTATATGTACCAGTTACTAGTCATACTTTTCAAAGAACATTTTCTCATGTGTCCCCTGTGATATGTGATTCTTCATACTGTTTTTGAATCATACAGATCACTGTTCTGCTAAATTATTTTATTCAGTAAAAATGTCTTTTGAGGGACTACAATATGTATCATTGTGTTAGAGACTATGAAGGAGACACAGAGAAAAATAAGATCCTTGCTCTCCAGGAGGTTAAAATCTAGAGCTCCATGGTATAATGACATGAGCACTGGATTTGGAGTCAAACTACCTTAGTTTAAATGACAACTCTGCCTCTGACCACTTGTGTGATGCTGGGCAGGTTGCTTGACTCCTCAATGCCCTCCTCATTAAAATGAGAAGCATTTGGAAAACCTCCACATCAAGATCCCTCCAAACTCTTGATTGTATGCTGAGTAATTGTGATTTAACTGAATATACCTCCTTATACAAGGATCATTATTAGACTTTATTTTCTATACAACATAGGCTTTTTTTCAATAATTAATTTTCTTTTTTTTTACCTATATTTCCCAATGTATCTTTCCATAGTGCCATCTCCGACAATGAAGAATTTTCAAAAGAGGAACATAAATGTAGTTCCTCAAACTAATATAATGATTAATATAATTAATTAATCACTAATATAATGAGATTAATCAAGTTTGAAATGATACACAGTGTTCCATGCCCATTGTTCCCTACCTCTTAAAGGAAGAAAGGAAATAAATTCTCATATCTCTTGGGGGGATCAAATTTAGACATAATTTCACATTATTCAGTTATTTGTTTTGTTGCTGTTGTTTTAATTTACATTGTTATACTTGTGGCATATACTGTCTTCCTGGTTTTACCTACTTCACTTTGTATCAGTCATCCAGATCTTCCCATGTTTCTCTGTATTCTTAAATTGTAAAATTGATGTATTACAATTTACTTAGCCATTCCATGACAAAAAAGCATCACTTCTAGTTCTTCCCTATTACAAAAAATTCTGCTATGCACATGTGTATGTGTGTGTTAATTTGCATGGGGCCTTTCTTTTTGTCATTGATCTCCTTGGGGTATAGGGATATCATAAGAGTCAAAGGGTATGGACATATTGGTCACCTTCTTAGCATACTTCCAAATTGATTCCAGAATGGTTATCTCAATTTAAAGTTCTACCAAGAGTGCATTAGAGTGCCCATCTTCACCAAACCCCTCCAACATTGACTATTCTCATCTTTTGTCATTTTTGCCAATTTTCTGGGTAATGACTTAATTTGCATTTCTCTTATTGTTAATGGATTTGAGGTGTTCCTTCATATGGTTGTCAGCAGTTTGTAATTCTTTTGAGAAATGTTTGTTTGAATCCTTTGACCAATGAGTTTTTGGGGGAATGGATTTACAATATAGTTTTTTAAGTGAATTTACATAGAGAATGTCATGCTGTCTAGAGGAAAATTTCCCTAAACACAGGTCATATTTTTATAAATGCTAAATAAGGAAACAATGAAGTCAACTCTATTTTTCACTGTAGTGGCAGTTTGATTGAATGCCATGAATGAATTGGGAGATGAATGAATGAGATGCTTCTAGGTGGAGGAAAAATTTATCATGGGGAAGAACCAATTCTGTGGAGTATCACAGCTGGAGATAGTAATTCCTTGACTTTCAGTCCCTCTTTCATTTTTCATGCTAAGACAGTCCCCTTGTTAAAGTGCCTTAGGCCAATCATGAGAGACTGTTTTGAGAGAGATTAAAACTGGTGCAGAGGCACTCCATTCTGCAAATCATTCTTTTGATTCAAGATTTTTAGAAAGATGGGACATTTGGGGGTCTAGTGAGAATTGCTGTGAATCTACTACAGCCAACCCAGAAGTCATCCAAAAGAAGGAATGGAGAAGGTGTACTTTCCCTTACTAACTAGAGGAAGTAATTGCCTACAGGTAAGTTGTGATGTATTGGGTCGGGGAAGGGGCAGGATATATTGAATTTGAAATCAGAAGATCTGGGTTCAAATCCTACTTCTTATGCTTACTTGTATGACCTTGGACACTCAGGACCTCAATTTCATAGATCATAGAATCACAGACCCAGAGCTGGAAGGGATCTCAGAATGATTTCTGTTTTGGCCACTTTGAATTTGAAATACCTGCAAGACATGCAATCTGATATGTCCAAAAGACAGTTGGTGATGTGGGAGTGGAGCTCATTAGAGAGACATGTATATGTGCATACATATATACATATATACATGTGTGCATATATGATACATATAAATATGTACCTATATACATGTGAGCATGTATGTGTATATACATATATATGCATACATATGTGTACATGTATAGGTATATGGGTATGTAGGTATGTATAACTATATACATGGATATTAGGTATATAAATATGAAAATTGAGCCCAGAGAGTTAACGAGATCACTAATTAAGAGTTTTGAGGGACATACATAGTCACCAGGCATAGAATTGATTAAAATCCACAAAAAGAGATTAAAAAGAAGCAGTCAGATATGTAGGAAGAGAACCAGGAGAGATCAGTGTCACAAACATCTAGAAAGGAGAGAGTATCCATGAGTAGGTGATCAATACTGTCAAATGCTACATAGAATTCAAAAAGAAAGAGAACTAAGAAATGGCCATTATATTTAGCAATCAAGAAGTCATTGGTAACTTTAGAGAAGACAGTTTCGGTTGAATGATGAGGTCAGAATCCAGATCCCCATGGGTTTATAAGAGAGTAAGAAGAGAGGAAGCAGAGACACCTTATGAAGATGACTTTCTTCAGCTGAGAAGGGAAAAAGAGATATGACAGCTAATGGAGATGTTCAGATCCAATAAGGGATTTTATTTAGCATGGGGGAGACATAGATATGTTTGTAGGTGGCAGGGATGGAGTGAGTAGATAGGTCATCATTCCTTTTTGCCTGAGAATTAGTGTTTCCCAAAGATTGTATTTTGGGCCCTTTCCTTTTGCTATACTCCTTCGTGAATCTCATCAACTTCCGTAGTCTCAGTTATGATCTCTATTCAGATGACTCCCTAAACTTATATATCTAGCCCAAATCCATCTTCCAAAGTTAACTGCCTATTGTGCATTGCCTCCTGGATGTCCTGCAGATAACTCAAACTCAAATATTGAAAGGGGAATTCATTAGATACATCTTCAAATCTGCAAAGCTGCTGCTTGAGAGGCTGCTCTGTCCTGGAAGGAGCCTGGTAGGGCCAGAGTGGAGAGAAGCTCAGCTGGTATGCAGCCCCTTTGGGGAGGAAGTGCACCATCTGGTAGCTGGCTAGTTTGGCTAATTATTATTGGTAACTAGTATAGAAGGAGAAAAAGCATTATCAAAATACAAACATAAAAAAATTTTAAATCATTATTCTAAATGTTTATCCCCTCTAAATTTCAGTTCCCTTTTGGAAAACCTTAACAGGTCTAACTTAATTATGGAATCTGTGAAGTGAATAAACATGAATTGAATGGAAATGAATCACCCCTGCTCCCCAAATTTCATTTGGTGTTAGCCATGTGTATGCAGAAACGCAAACTCAAATTTCATAGAGATTTTGGATACAATTACTATATATTTAATAGATAGACAAATTTCAGATTGACAGTTAACTGCCACTAAAGAAAGTCTACAAGAAACATGGGCAGTTAACTGCCATTGAAGATAGAGTCTGCGAGAGACTGACAGTTAACTGCCATTAGAGAATGTCTATAAGTGACTTGGAAGTGAAATGTCATCTTTGAAAAGGCTTGAAAAGACACTTTGAGAAAAGTGAGTTTAATTGTCATTCTGGTAAAGAATTGAGTGAATTTAACTGTCTTTTTCTTGGTGCAAATTGAATTAACTATTATTCTGAGGAGGAAACATTCTGATGAGAATTCCTAAGAGAAATTGAGAGACTTTAATTGGTATCTTTAGGTGAATTTAACAAACCATTATATTCCACAGGGAGATGAACAGTTAACTGACACTGCTGAGGAGAACTGAGTAAAACGTCATTCTGAAAGGAACTGAGTTGAGACATTCTGAAGAAAACTAGTCTTTTTTCAGTATTTTGGAGGACTGAGCAGGTACAATTGTCAGTGACAGAATGCTAGTCAACAATTTCTTTGCCCTAGTTTTCCAGTACACAGAATTGAACCTGGCTTTGATCTTTAAATATTTAGTTATGTTCTTTGTTACTGTTAAGAAATTACAAAGCTAGTAACATTGATGCTTGTTTAAGTCTCCATGATATAGTTTTAGGCTGAGAAAAGCTATAAGAAAAAAAATAGATCTTCCCAATTTTACAAGGGAGGGGCTTAGAGATAATGATTGACAGAGATTTGAGGTAATTCCAAAACATGCCTACAAGACTCCTCAGAAGAATACCGGGTTTTTGTCCTAGAGAGTACCTGAGAAGTAATGCATCGTGAATCATACCACCCAAAGGGATTGCTATGTGTGAGGCCTTATTCTCAGGATTGCTACACTAACATATGTAGCAAATATATTGTGGATAGAGGCCTGGAGTTAAGAAGACCTAAGTTCAAATCCAGCCTCAGACACTTACTAGCTGTGTGACCATGGACAAGTCACTCAACTCTGTTTGCCTCAGTTTCCTCATCTGTAAAATGAGCTGGAAGAAGGAAATGGCAACAGGTGAGTGATAAGACAATAGATCAAGGAATTTAAAAGCAGAGGAGTATGCAGATTTGAAACTAAAGAGTTGAGATAAGGAAGCCAGGACAGTGACCAGTTCACAGCGCTGATGATCTGGGAAGGGACTGAGAGGAGGAAGGTTTGGGGGAAGTACTAAGGAGGAAGAAGAAGTTTAGGAGGAGTGAGGCAAAGGGAGAGATAGAATAATAGGTTTTGAACTATGGAGTTTGAATGCAGATAGAAATATACTATTTGCTATTTTTTTTTCTTCTGTTGTATTTTGTTTCCTCTTTCTGGTGGTTCCTCCCATTGGTTCTAATTCTTACTTACAACATCACTAATGTGAAAATATGTTTAATAGGAATGTGTGTGTGTGTGTGTGTGTGTGTGTATGTGTGTGTGTGTGTGTGTGTGTATATATATATATATATATATCAGATTGTTAACTATCTTTGGGAAGGAGATGAGGAGGGGGGAGAGAAAACATTAAAACTCAAAAAGTTATGGAAGTGATTTTTGATAAATCAAAATAAATCAATTAAATAAAAAATTTTTAAAAAGAATAATAGGTTTTGATAAGAAAATGGAATTTGGCAGTTTTTGCCCACAGAAGTAAAACCATTTGGTGATGGCAGGGTCAAGAGTATGACCATCTCTGTGTATATCTGAGATGAAGCAGAAGAATAACTCAGGAAAATTGAACTGATTGAGGAAATTAGAGATTAGGGTATTTGAGGGAACCTCAATATGTGTGTTTAAATCCTATAGCATAAGGGCAGGAGGTGGAGTGGAGAGGAAACAAGTGGGTTTTTTTGTTTTGTTTTGGTTTTTTGGCTATGCACACTTTAGGGTTACTTACATCACTGCTGCCCTCCATCCATTGTGAGATGGCTAACCTCTGCATGGCATATGCTCCAGAGCAGTGAGGCATTAGCTCCGACTCTCCACTCATCATGAAAAGTCATCTCACTTAATTCCTTTGCTCCAAAGGGTCTCCCAGGTTGCGCACCTAGATGAAATGCAACACCTTTTACACCATCAATTCTCTTCCAGGGCAAGGGTCCCCTCCATGGCAAGTGGAGCACTTGCCTAATGAGTTATGAACTAATTTGCTTTAAGAGTCAAAGCAAAAATGGCCCAAGCCCCTGTAAAATTCTGCCCATTGCTCTGGAATGCTGGGGGTTTGCCCAAGGCTTCGAAGAGTTTATTCTACCCTGACCCCACCCTAATCAGAGAGAGGCAGTTTGCCAAATGTGAGTTAACATCTAAGAAAGTCCCTTTTCTCAGTGACCTCATTTGCTAGAAGCAGGGGCCCCAGCCTACACTGTACCTTTCTCTAAGGAATGGAGGAAGAACTGAAGAACAAAGTACACAGTCTAAAAGGAACTGAAATGTTCATTTCAAGAAGCCTTTGTGTTTCAAAGTTAATGCTTAGTGCAGGAAACTACCTGGTCCTTGAAAATAATTACAAAAGCAAAAGGAAAATAATAAAGAGAACAGAAAGAATTTGTTGGAAAAATGGAAGGATGAAGATAACAGAGAAGATCAATCTGGGAATAGGAAAATCAGTATTATGATCAGCTTAACTGTGTGACTTTCAGCAAATATCTTGATTCCTCTGGCCTGTTTCCCCACCCATAAAATGGAAACAATGGTAGATGCTTATACTTTAAGGAATGTATGAGTTCCAGAAGAATAGACTTTGTGGGTATGTATATACATGTATGTGTGTATATATATATATATATGTGTGTGTGTATGTGTGTGGTGTGTGTGTGTGTATGTACACACAAGATTAGGACATTAAACTTTTTAAATATTTTAACGTAATTATTAGGTTTTCTTACCACTCCCTTTTGCTAAATCCTATCTGGTTCTTGTCTTTTAACCACTATACAATCTTATCTATACTTGAAATAAGGCTGTATACCCTGCAGTGGCATTCAGTAAAAACCTGATAGATGACTGACAGATCAAGACATGTATCTTCTTTGGAATGATGTTAATACTTACTTACATGTTATAACAGGAATCAGCAACCTCTTCAGCTCTGAAGGCCACCAGCATAACTCATCACAGTTCATAGGGACATCTGAGACATGATCACAGAAGAAGGAAAAATAGAAGCAGGAAAGGAGAGAGTCAACTTTCCTTGTGTACTGAGGCAGCTAAATGATTCAGTGGATAGAGCACTGGATTTGGAATAGGAAGACCTGAGTTTGAATCCAACGTCAGACACTTACTAGCTGTGTGTGACCCTGGGTAAGTTGCTTAACCTCTGTCTGCCTTAGTTTCATCAACAATAAAATGGGGTAATAATAGCACCTACTTCCTAAGGTGGTTGTGATAATCAAGTGAGACAATATTTATAAAGCTTTTAGTACAGTACCTGGCATGTAGTAAGTGCTTAACAAATACTTGTTTTCTCCCTTCCCTCCTAGTGGAAAGAGCATTAAATGTAAGTAGAGCACCTGAATTCAAATTCCAGATTAGCCACTCACTACTTGTGTAACTGTGGACAAGTCACTTTACTACATCTCTGAGCCTTGTTTATTAATCTATAACGCAGGGGGGAAGGTTCAAATAGATAATCATCAATACATATTTATTAAGTACCGACTGTGCTAAGCCCTGTAGAGACAAATATATATATATAAAGAAGAGAAAGGAAGACAATCCTTGCCTTTAAGGAGCTTACGATCTAAAGAGGGAAGATAACATACAAAAGGAAGCCAAAAAGGTTGGAGAGGAGCCAAGTCACCCTCTTCAGGAGCCATGTGGAGAAGGTAGAAGTGCCCCAAAGTAGTGCAGCCAGGTGGGAAATGAGATGATTTCTAAGGTCCCTTCTAAATCTTGGGATACTAAGGGGAAGGTGGGAAAGATAGAGAGAATGGGAAAAAGAAAGGAAATGTAAAGAGGAATTTACAAAGCTGTAAATTTTAAGGAACATCAAGGTTCATCTTGAAGGCAGAAAGCTTTTATTCATATTTATTCCCCCACTCTGCTTTGCACACAAAAGGTGCCAAAGAAATCGTTTTGAACCAATGAAAAAAATAATGTTAGAGAAAAAGAAGAAAACATGAAGTAGTATACATTTGGAATATGGGTGGGCTGGTATGAGGGGTCAGCAGTGCAGGAATCAAGACCCATCCCAAAGGTTCTTTAAAGTTTTGATTAATTGTGATTTTACCATTCTATCCATATTATTGGCAGTGGTGCAGGCTCACTAACAATTGCCCTGGCTGTCCAGTGGCAACCATGCCCCAAAGTGGCAAATCTTTCATTATGTTTCTATTGTAAATATTCCTATGGATTTCTGCATTTATCTCGTTAAATTAAATTTTCTTTAATTGTTAGGCAACTTTCAATCAGCTGGCCGTCTCTAACCTTTCCAACCTAATCATGAATTACTCAGAACCATTAATGCTCTGTTCAACCAGACCAGCATGATCTCCATATTGCTCTCTCTACCCCACCTTCCTACCTCACAAATTCCCTCTTCTGTTCCAATATGACTTTATTCTTTTGCTCTTCCCATTTCCACACATGGGATAAACCCATCCTCAACTCTGATCATTTAATTCCTGGCTATTCTTCAAGGTCCAGCTCTAATCCTGACTATTCCATAAGGCTATCTCCTATCACTTCAGCTTACACTGATCTCTCCCCTCTTGCCTGTGACATGAAGAGTCTTCCTGCCTAGTTTAGCAGTTGGATTATTATGCCTTGCATCTTACTCAAATTATTTCACGCGTATTAATCCTGTTTTCCTTACTGGACTATAAACCCTTGAAGGCAGTGCCTTGTCATGGACAACCTTTAACATGTCTTATGTCTTCCCTTCCTTTTAAATGAATAGCTTTGATTTGACTAAGATTCTTGTCAGTGTGTCTGCTTACTTCGTATCTGTGCTATATCATCTAATTTGGGGCTTTGAACATAAGATGAGCTTAATCTATGTGGGGAGGCTCATTGCCCTTTCAAGCAATAAACACACATAACCACTCTACACATGTACTTGGGGCATTACAGCAGGGGGGCAATGAGGAGAGTAATATTGTGCAGAGTTACTCAGGCTTAATTCCCTAATGAAACCCTAGAGGGAATTGGACATATTTAAGAACTTACTATGACTTTTGAGTAATTATGAATCTCATTTAGGAGACCCTTCAATATTCCAGGATTTAATGCAATAGGCATCCTGGAACATCCCTCTACCAGGCCAGCCCTCTTCATCAAAGTTCTTCCCAATGTGTTCATTTTGGAAAGTGGCCTAGGCCCCTTTGTCCTCTCCTGGCTCTGATTTTAACTCTACATACTCACTATCCTTCCCCTGAGCTTCTCTCCCTCCCAACTCATACCCTGTTTCTTTAGCTCCCTTTCCCACCTTGAGAGTAGGGACTATCTTTTTGCTTATATCTATATTCCCAATGCTAATTAGAATGATACTTGACACATAGTAAACACTTACATGTCTGTTGCTGCGCTTTGGTACAAGGTCATCTATGAACAGGAGCAACTGAGTAACCACCATTGATGTAGACTTTGAGCTAGACATCCACTATGATAATGGTAAACACCTATGGTCAGCATACTTCTCTCTGTTTTCATGCTTCATTTGATGCGAATAATTAGAAGGTTATCAAAGGGAATTATCTCTATTTTTACATTTTTCAAGGAATCTTGCATAATTTTAAAATGTGTATAGGAGACATCTTATTAAGGCAGCATTTTGCTCTACTGCATCAAATTCCTTTCTATAGCCAATAATGAACACGACAGAACTTTGTTTTTTCTACACCTTTCAATCAATTATTTATGGTCAAGATATGCTCTACTGTGAAGTGTCATATAAGAAAATCTGTCTATTTCCTAAAAGGAATAGCTTAGCAAGGATAACCTTAATGTATGTATAGATTATTCTCAGGAAATGTTTATATCGATGGGAAAGTAGGCATACGAGTTGGTAGGCATTACTCTTTTCTTGGTTACCTTTGGAGTATGATGAGGTTCCAGGTCCAAACTTTTTTCTACTTCTTTGATATCTTTCCCACCTTCAGATACCTTAAGAATTGATCCCTCACTTAGCCTCAGAATTGTGTTCCCTTCTTCATGAACCTCCACTGTATATATTTGATCTAGTTCAGCTACCTTTCTTATCTTCATTTCCATCAATGCTATTTTCATTTCCTCAAGAAGAATGTCAAGGACTATAAAATTAGAATTCAAATTAGAGTGCAGCTCCACTCATTTGTCTGTGAAAAGAGTTTGTTTTAAAAATTGCTGCAGATATTTCCCATTTTTCCTCATTTGTTCTCTTTGTGGTTTTACCTTTAAATGCTCTCAGCATGACTTGGCTTATTTGACTTTTCATCAAGTGTCCTTTGACTATACTTTTCCTTTTACTGCTTCTGGATGTTTTATGGAGCAGTAGTATTTATAATCTTCTCCCATCCTTCTCCCTAAGATTTTACAAATGAGTTTATCCTTAACTAGTATTGCCCTTGGCTGCCATACATTTCTGCCTGGCAATATGATTGTGTATTTTCTGGCTGGTGCAGCTTTTAGGTCTTTTTGGTCCATGATGGTCTCCTCACTATGGGAATTGATTTGCATCAGTTAAACTTCTATACAATACTGTTATAATCAGTGTCAATGACCTTTCCTTCATCCATTCTCCATTTTGCTTTTGGCATCAAAAACGTGTTTAGATAGGTCACTTTAGAGTTGGTTTGATTGTATTCCATATCTTTTTTCTTTGTTTTTTTTTTTTTTTCTCCTAGTTTTATGCTAATTTTTATTTTTCTCTAACTTGTCAATAGCCTGACTATATATATATATATATATATATATAAATATATATATATATATATAAAATATATATACACATACATACATATACATATACATATATATAATATATATATATAATATATAATATATATAATATATAATATATATAATATATATAATATATAATATATAATATATAATATTATAATATATATAATATATAATATATAATATATAATATTATTATAATATATATATAATATATATATATATAATATATAATATATAAATATAATATATAATATATAATATATATAATATAATAATATATAATATACATAATATATTATAATATAATAATAATATATAATATATAATATATATAATATATATATTATATATATATATATATGCATGCACACACACACACACACACACACACACACACACACAGCCTGATTCAGGAATGACTCCCACTTCAGCAACTGCCTACTTCCTGCCTACTAAAACATAGTCAATTAATACAAAATATACCTCAATCCTACGTAGCCTTTTTTGATTTTATAGTGAATGTAGGGTGACAAAAAAGGCTTCAAAGGATGCTAAGAATCACACAGTTTTGGGACCAATTATAAACTTTAACTTATTAGTTGATGTGGTCAATGTGAGATGCCTGTCTAATGACCGACAGGGTGACACACCGCTGAAAAAGGTAGATTGTATCGATCTTGATATTCTTATTGTGAGTGAAACAAGACAAAAGGAAGTTGCTGCTTTATGACCAATGGGTTGCTGAAAATCTTAAAATACTATGTAAATGTGAGGAGTTGTTAATCATAATTGATTTTATTTTTGTGGCATGATACATCTAGCACTCAGATATCTAGTCCCTCCTAACTATTTTCAGAATAAAACATTTGTGATTTCATCAGTCAATCAACAGGCATTTATTAAGCTCTTACTATGTGCCAGGCACTGTACTGAGGTCTGAGAATACAAATATAAGCCAAAAGAAAGATAATCTATGACCTCACGGAGCTTACATTCTAATGTGGAAGAAAACATTTACGAAGAAGTTGAAAGACAGGACAAAAAGAAAGTGAAGGTACTTCATTCAAGGGCTTGATGGAGAAAATAGGGTTCAGGTCCGAGTGGAATGAAACATTGCTGCCCTGGATGTTCTCCTTAAACCGAGGTTCTAGAAGGATCTGTCCAATCAGAGGGGGAGGTTGCAGATACAGAGAATACAACCAAGGTGTCAATTCCAGAGCTAGAGTGAGCTTCTAGGCTAAAGAAGCTTCCGAGGCATAGTAAAGAAAATCTGGGGTTCAGGAGTTCAGCTCGGAGAGGAATGATTTAGGCATGTGAACATTGGAGAATCAAGCAGAGCAATTGATGAAGTTGATTTTTATCATTTACCTTAAGGGAACA